CCTGGCTGGACTAATCGACTATGTAGAAACAGCCTTACACTCCATATTCTTCACTCATTGAGAATTTTTCAGAGTACACTTGGACAAGGAATAGATTGATGTAAAGTGCTATTGCTGGCCCACAACAAAAACAAGTCACACTAGAATAAAACTAAACTGGCATATTTTATTTCTACAAAATGTATAAATATTTAAAATTTACAGCAGAGTTAACATTTAATAACTGTTACAACATCTGAAATGGTGTAATTCTTGATCTGCAGCCCACTGCTATAAATGTAATAATTGTATTTGTGACCTAGGTGCTGACTTTAGGAAAGTTCATGAACAATTCCTCAAGCAAAGGCTCTCAGTCTAACACAGGATATGCATGTCCAAAACTGTAATTTTAAAGGACCACCTTGTATATCTTTTAGGCATACACTAAAGATGTTTTTATATACACCTAAAATTGTGGACATGTGACATATGAACATGCATATCACACAAGTATAACCATCAGAAGACAAGGATTGCTGTGGCTCCCTGTTTGAGTATACTTGAAACAAACCCGGATTTGCCACCCTGTAATACATAGTATGGCTCAAATGGAGATTGAACACTGATGCTGAGAAAGGGCCCTACTTGTAAAGAAATGTACTTATCCAGATTTTCCAAAAACCTATTGTTTATAGGGAAAATAGACTTCAATACATCTGCAACAATGAAATTGGGATTTCAGAAGCATATGTGTATGTCTGAAAAATATTTTTACACTACTAATGCATATAACCTAATTTAAAACACATTGCTGGTGTTCATTCAACACCTTGAGATTAAACACTAGCTTATATTGAGCAGGAGTTTAGATGTGGTGTAATCTCACCAGATGTGTTCATACAGTAATAGCAGCAGACTTTTTATCTATTCCATACATCAAAATACAAGAGAAGGTGCATGATGGTTAAGTCAAATACATTTGGAATTTGCAAGCTGTTGCATCACAATGATTTACAGTTCTTATGTCCCATTGAAACTACAAATGTGTTCAAATTTTCCAGTTTATTGTTATTTAGAAGACAGTGACATTATAAAATTCTATTTCATATACATCCCTTAGACCAGGAGTGACAATTGTGTTGTCCTCCAGATGTTGCTGGTCTGCAACTGCTATTATTTCTGATTGTTGACTATTTTGGCTATAGCTGATAGTATTTGTAGTTCAACAGCACCTGGGGGGCACACTTTACCCAGCCATGATATGAACTAATACAATCTAATATGTAGTTTTACAAATAAGTATCTTCACCAGTATTTGCTTCATCTGAAAATGTACTCAGCATCCAAAAACGAGATGCAGTTAAAATGTATATGATCAGATATGATCTTCATTACTTTGAAGGAAAAGAAAGTAAAACCTCAGACCATCTTGGTTAGCAGTACGGTACTTATCTCTTTCAACACATTACTGAATTAATTTTCAATTACATAAAAATATAATGTTTGGGTTTCAAGAGTGCAGAAGTACTCCTGAAGATAAAGTGAAGATAAAGTGAATACATCATCACTGGCTCAAGTCCTGTTCAAGCACTTTACCTTAATCAGGTGGACCAGGGACAGACAATTTGTAGCCCTCTACATATTATTAGACCTTAATTCCCAACATTCCCCACTATTAGTTGTGTTAGCTAGACTGATGCCAGCTGCAAGTCACTAACAACCGAGAGGTTGCATGTTCCTCATCCCCAGAGTAGATAAATGTAAGAGATGGGGCTCACCACACTGTTTGTGCCCCAATGTCCTTGTGTATACTAGACCCACTTCCCTGTGTTAAAATGGCAAAATCTGCAGCAGTATTCCACTCATGTTAGTTTGGATGTAGAAGCCTCCACTGTTAAGACTTCTAATCACAAGTGGTTCAAATGAACTTAGATCTCTTCATTCAACACATAGGAATTGAGAGGATAATGAGTCAATTAGAAAGGTTAGTCAGGGTCAAAGATAGAAATTTGCTGAATTTAGGATCAAGTTAGATAGTAGATGAGTGCATGCGCGAGATATGCAATTTAGATATATTAAATAAATAATCTGTAACTTTATGTACAATTTCTGTTTAATAGCTCATTATTTTTTGTATTGTATACTTAAGGAAGTTAGAGTTCAGATACACAGTGTCTGGAGACTGTAGTTAAAGAAAGTGGGAGATAAGATGAATAAGGTCTTGCACAGCAACCATGAAGGCTATCTAGAAGATCACCATATGGAATGGCAAACTAGTGGAACAGGTTGAGGTCCACACATTGATAGAATAGACATAATCGCTTTGACTTAGGTTAATTTGTCTTAAAATTTATACAGCTAGCCCTCCCTCTTCAAGAAATAATGAGATTTACAAGGATGAGGCACCTTTTGCTACTTCATTTATACTACTGGGTGGACCCTCATGATATTCGTGTCAAAAATAGTCCTCTAGTTTTAATTTTGTCATTTAATGAAAACAAACAAAATCTTTGGGGTTTTATATATTTTTTGACATTTTAGAAATGCTGTACAGATATTAAGTCCTACAGATGGGGAAATATCAAGGCGCAAATTTTAATTCTTGGACTGCATTTTGTAGATGCTTTCAAGTTTATCGATTTCCTTTCAAAACAATTAATTAAAGGCTAACTTTTTATTGTCCTTCAAAATACTGAGCAAAGGAACCCCAAGCCGACATGACAATCTTTTAAAAATAATATAACTTTCAACAGTTTGCTAAGGCCATATAGCAATACAATAGGAGAAGCACATTAGAGACAAAAGCCCATAATTGCTCTGTAGGAGGGACTGGGTGAGCACTTGACACAGCTCCACCTGGCAAAGTTTTCATTTTTATTAAAAATAGGTCAAGGCGAACACAGCCATTCACAAGGAAGCTCTTTGCCTTGATTTTGCTCACAACTCATAATTGCATCTTCGTCTGATTATTCTAGGTAGGGTTAGCTCAACATGGTTATGAAAGATAGCAAGTGGCAGAAGAAGCATCCAGTGAAAATGAAAGAATCTTATGAATCTTTCTTCCAGTGGGAAAGTATGGAATGCTATAGCTGAATGCCAGGAAATATTACAACATTGCACTTTTAAAACTAAACCCTCCAAGAACCCATTCAAAGGTTTCTGAGTTCTGAACAACAAAATCTGAAAAAATTGCCTTTCCTGAACAGATGTCCTATTTTCTAAGGTCACACAATCAATGCCTTGAAACAGCATGTTGTCTTCTGAATCCTCCCTGTTCACCTAATGTGATCTTACAATCATTAGCTTCAACTTCATGAAAACATGAAATTTCTACTTCATCATACAATACAATTAAATATGTTTCACCATGTTCAATGGGATTTGTCCCATTGAAGCATTAATAAGGACTGGTTTTGCTGTTGTTTACTTATTCAGAAAGAATACCCTTTAACTTTATGGGAAACATACCTTTCAAAGGTTGTGAAGCAGATAGCTCATTGGACTGAAGTTCTTCATGAAGCCTGAATACTATTTCTGGAGTTATGAAGAGCAATATCAAAAGATAAAGTGGAGTAAACTATGCCTAAGACAACAAAAGCGATTTTGCTACTAAAGAAGATCACGCCAGGACAATGCTTTTGGACTCAAACCAGCAAATCTGGCAGCAGGACTTAGACTAGAGATTTATTTAGTCTACCCTTGCCTTTGACACTGCGACACCCCATTAAAATTACGTCAGAAGATGTGCTTTTCTGCTTCCTTTATGAGAGTGAAAAGATAGTTTCCCTTCAGGAAAAAAATCTGCAACCTTTCAAAGAACTTGCTCATTGTTTGGACCATGTCTGTGATTCCAAGAAACATGAATCTGAAGAGACTCCATCAATGATTTTCTTACTTTTAGTTAACACAATGGAAGAAACCTGAAGGCAAACCCCAACTACCACTCTAGAGGTGAAAAACTGCTGGTTTCCTTATGTTGTAGGCACAGAGCCTCGCTACATTTACCAAAATGTTGTGACAGCATTTAGAATAAAAAAAGAACAAAGGGTTTTATCTCCCAGTGTACCTCTGTGCAGTATGCAACTCTAGGATTATAGTACAGACAATAGAAAATAATGGGACTGCTGTTATGTCTTTTTACTAGGAAATGTTTTGGAACCTGTCAGTCCTTGACAATAGATCCCTAACCTTTATTACTGAGACAAGCTTGTAAAGATTCCAATAATGTTACTAGAAAGACCAAAGTATTGTTTAGACCAGGAATTCACAAATTGGGTCTGACCTTCAAACCCTCTGTGACGATGTGTCTTGAGTTTCTGCTGTTTTCCCAATGCCAACATGGGCAAGACTTGGACTGCAGTTTGTTGGAAAAGTAGATGCAGAGCACTGCTACTTGATATTTAAAATATAACTCAAGCCCATAGCCAACTTAAAACGAAGAGGCCCAGAAAAAGACTTTCAAGGCATAACAACAACCTCATGTTTTATGAGATTTTTCCTACTTAGAGAAAAGGAGAGGCACTTCTCCAAACATTACTACAATAACGATGAAGTTCTTCTAAAAGGTTGTCGCCATCAATGCTGACTGTCAATCCAAATCAGGGTCCTTAACACAAGCATTATTTTTCCAAGTTCCAGAAAATTTATTGTATGGGGATATGGACTAGCTTATCTTGCTCAGGTGTTCCCTGAGAATGACAACTTAACAAGTCATGTTAAAAGTATCCCGGTAGCTTGGACTACCAATTTCAACTGACCCTGTATAAGAATACTACCAAAGTTAGATTTTTCATTTGGGCAACTTGTTCTTGAGATCAGATAAAGAAGAGATCCTTGCTTTGCCTTACCTCACACATTATCTAATCAGCAAATGTCACATCGAGTTATCCAAAGGTTATCTGCTTTGCCTTTATCCTTTTCTGTGCCATAGGAATATCTGGGCACAGACTAGGTCATCTGTCTCTGACTTATTTCCCCTCTACCTTTGAATCAGATTATTGGTCTGTTTATATAGATAGATGTTTTGCCATTGACCCTACTAAGCTGTGATACTAAGCTCTCACTCTATATATTTTACTTTCCTAGTACATTGTAATGGTGACTGGATGAAAGAGATGGGGTAATAGGCACATACAAATTCCAGACAACTAATATCACTAAAGAAAACTATATGGCATATTTTATTCCCAGGAAGAGTGTGTATGTGTATGAAATCTTCTCCCAAAGCCCACAGCCTGGTGTTGAAATGAAGAGAAACAGCCCAGATTTTCAAAAGGGAAAGGGAGCTAATTTAACTTGAATTTAAATGGCTAGTATAAAACTGCCATATTTTCAAGCAAGTCAAAAGAATCTGAATGGCATTATTATTTTTCACAATGGATTACAGTTTGGCAGTGGTATCTGGGCGATACTATCAATTCTGTGACACAGAATTGATAGAATCTGGTCACAGACTAGGTCATCTTTCTCTGACTTCTACTCCATTACAGTAGCTCTCACTGGTATTTTAGTTTTATATCCCATCTATTAGCATATTCTTCAATAAGTATTGTTGATTTTACCAAGAAAAAAAAAAGAATGGCACCTTCTTCCTGATAATATACATGAAAAACCTCTGTTATGTACAGCAAATTTACCGTTCAGAAATCCTTTCAGCTGAGCTATTCACTGGTTATGGCTGACTAAAAACCTAATGATTCTTTTGTTGCCATGAAGGACCGGCCAGTACACACACATCACCTTAATGAAACAAATGATATAGTCTTTCACAATGCAAGTTAATTTCATAAGGCATTTAACATTGTCACTTTCAAGCAACATTACATGACAGAACCAACAGCAAGCCCACTCCCCCACCCCCAAGATCTTGGAGTTTAGCCTTGTAATGTTTCTCATGAGTCTGATCTCCTCTTGAATATGTCCTGATAACAGTGTATGTCATGGTATATTAAAGCGCTCATGTGTTCAGCTGAATGAGTAAAAAATTTCGAGGGGAAAAAGTGCAAACATGCTTTTAAGCAATTAAAAAAAGTTTTTCCAACAAGTGGGCTTTTAACCAAGCATTCAAAACCTTTCACTTCACCAACAGGAGAAAATGAATGTATCTCCTTTTGCCTGATGTAAATGAGTGAAGTACAAGTGGTCTAGAACCTTTCAAGGCCTGAGGAAACGCCGCAAGTCTCTCCCTTGGCTTTAGGCACCCAAGGTCATGTTACGGAGCAGCCACTGCTGGGACCGGCTTTCACTGCAATCTTTCATGGTAGGAACCATTTTGTCATCTTCAGCAGGTTCGTCGAGACACTGGTTGCTGTTCACATGTCTCAAGGTAAGCCGCTGCAAAACAAAAACAAAAAACAAACACAGTCAACATGAGGAAGATGGTAAGTTTTGGACAGTATATGTATTTCTCCAGAAACTATGTATACCTTGTCATGGGAAGAAATCACATTCAACATTATTCCTATATGGCCCAGTATTTCTCTTTTGTGTACTACAGTCTCAGAAAACAAAGGAGATGTGCAGCTGTGGCTCCCCTTATGGCAAAGTAATTTCAAAAAGGATCTTACAATGTCTGGAAGCAGTGACTGGTCAAAGTTTAGGAATATGTTTGTGCCTATTACAAGGGCACTTCTCAGCCAGCCTGGTAAAAATAGCAAGCTCACAAGTCTTATTAGAGGAAACAAACAGCTTATACTCTACCTTTACCACAATCGTCTTCATAGCAAAGTTTTTCAAAAGGTGCCTCCTAGTTCTTTCTGATTTATGCCTACGTAAGACAAACTTACTATGGTATGTTTTCGGCAAGATGTATCCAGAGGGAAATTCTCATTACCTTCCTATAAAGCTGAAAATGTGTGACTTGTCCAATGTCATTTCCATGGCCGAGTACAGATTTGAACTAGTTCAAAGTCCTAGTCCGACATTCATATTAAATTAACTCAAATGCTATCACAGTATTGATAGTTCATTTCTCCTGAGAGGAAACACAGGAGAAAACAAGATCTGGCTCTCTGTGGCTTTTAAGGAGCACATCTGCTCTGTATGGTACAATCTGGTGCAATGAAAAAAGAATATCTGATAGTCTGTAGTTTTGTTTTGAAGTGGTCACTATCTGTTTATTCTTGTGTGTCTTTTTTGTACCCGAGGCTGTCTTTTCACCTACCCAGGAAAGGATATACTTTTTAAAAGATTCTGAATAAAAACAGTAGACATATGGTACACATTTACTACAAAATTATTCCTGTATAGAATTAATTCTAGGTGACATACCACCATCTGCAACTATTGGGATAAGTATTCTACATTTAAAGAGCTGGAAAATATTCAGAATAAATATTAGCACAGAACAGTATAACTCTCTAAAGATGGTTTCAGATTAAAGATTAGCATAAATTTAATTGAACGGTTGTAAACTGAGAATGTCAAAAACACAAATGAATGGGGGGAATGCACCAAAATGCTCAAAAATGTAAGGGATATGGAAGATTTTTTACATGTATGATAATACGATAATATATCATAATATATTAGCATACTGAAGTACACTGTTAGATGGATTTGTGACCTTTTTTTTTCCTTAGAAGAAAACGGTTCTAGAAAGCACCTTACTATTTCCATTGTCTTGTAATGTATTTCCGCTTGTCATCTATCTTCTGAGTCCAATGCAGACTATAAATTCAGAGGCTAGTAAAAGAACTGTATTTTTCTCAATGTCTCAAAATCATAATTTCTTCCTTGATATTTTTTTCTGATATTCATCCCATATCCTTTGATACCCCCCAGCTGTCATTGTCCAAGTGATGAATTATTTCATAAACTGTCACCCCCCCCCAAAAAAAAATGTAAAAATAAATGCAAAATTATTTCCCTTTTCCTGAACAGATTTTATTGAAATCTATTCCCCATATCTTCACTTTAAAAAATATGAAAAATGGCCAGCTCCTCCAGTATGGAGGAATGATCTCCTTTAACTAACTTGTAACTCACCCACATACCATATCACTGATTTCTTTGTTAAGAGAAGTATCATGATTTTGGCTGGCTGAGCCTCTTCTGCTTATGGACTTTGTGAGAGAAAATAAAGGGAGAAGCAACATATCAAGTCTTGTTCTAAAGATATAGTGCTCAGTAGAACAGCTATAAATTTGTTATTGCTTATGATTAGATTTGTTTAGTTGCAGAGGACTGTGCTGCATCAAGCAATCATTTTTTTTCTAAGAAAACTTCTGGATCCTTGTAGGGTCCAGAAGCATGCCTAGAAGTGGATGGTGGTGGATGTGGGAATAGATGCAAATTTTTGTCATGTCTGACAAAAAAAGGGTGCTTGGATAAACTGAGACCTGCCAAGAAAATGTGAGATTTTTCTCCCTCCTATAAATGTAAAAAAGTGTTTTTCGTATAAAAACGTTATGCACAAATTATTTTGAATAAAAAGTGCATTTTATTCCAAATATATTTTTGTGCAAAACCCACTGGGTGCCTTGGGCAAGTCGCATCTTCTTGGCCTCAGAGGAAGAAGCAAACCCCTCTGAGCAAATCTTGCCAAGAAATCCCATGATTGGTCCATCTTAGGGTATCATAAGTCAGACACAACTTGAAGACACACAACAACAACAACAACAACAACAACAAAACACAAAATACTTGTTAACTTTATTTTTTCTCCCCAAGTTTTTACTATAAGGTCTTGTAGGAGTAGGAGTGGGATTGGTTACTTGGCAGGGCCACTATACAGCTGTGACTTTACATAACTTGATAGATTAGTTGTTGTCACAGAAACATGAAGTCACAAGCTTCTTCATAGTTTATAATGGGACAGACAACACACAGGTCATGGACAACATGAGACTCCAAGAGTTATTGTGGTTCCACCATGCTGACCTTCTGTGACTGCACCACTGGACATTCTACCACATTTCAAAAGCTCTGTTATTCACACTCCTGTTCTTGTTTCTGCCTCTTCTGCAATTATAAACTTTCTCCAAATATGTGTCAAATGCCTTACTTGCCTTCCCTCTTCCCATTCCTTCACATTGGCTTCTGGTTCTTAGTTTCTTCTGAGCAATGCCTTACTGCAACCTGCCACACCAAACATCTGAGCTATGGAACAATTTCAGTAGCAGTGGCCAAGGAATGTGGACTGTAATGTTGAAGAATTAATATAGGGGCAGATATGTCCCACAACTCCAAAACACAGTCAATGTGGTTTAGAAAGGGCTAGTGAGTTAGTTTGGTTATTAGGTCCAGGACACAATGCCGATTTTCAGCCATTAATTCCATTGGCTGATATCTAATATCTCTATTGGGCAAAGTCAGAGAAATACACCTCGCCATGCTTCAAAAAGTGGGGGTGGGCACTTTTAGTGGAGATTTCAATTGAAAATATAATGTGGCAACAAGAGTTAGCATTGTATCGCCAGCCCACCAACACTGCTTTCTTTAAGTTTTCAAAAATAAACCAAGAGATCCAGTCACACATCCAATTTAGCCCATTGGTTTGTGCTGGCCTAATCTGTTCAGTAATCAATAGCAAAGATCTGTTTTCAGAAAAACACTGTTGTTATGTATTATATAAAGGAAATGTATTAAAGGAAAGTGAAATCACATATTAGGACACCACTGTAGAAACACGCTTTCCTCCTTTTTTTCAAAATATAGTCATTATCCTAAAATGGTCCCAATGAACAAATAATGGCAAAATGATTACACTTTATTTCACACTAGATTGGCATGCATCACATTTTTCAATTTAATGTGCTGTACAATTACTACTAGGAAAGCTCTTTAAAGAACATCTCCCCCGAGGTTTGCCTCTTACTTTAAGCAAACTGTCATTCAATTCCCAAAGAAAACCCTACATCTGTTATATTAAATCACTCAAGGCCATTTCATATTTTTGCAGTCCTGTGAAAATAAGGCGTTTTTCTACTGTGAGAGATATCTAAACAACTTGTTTGCCAAATCACAATTCAGGACAACTTAACATAACTAACATGCTTTGATTTCGTGGGTCAAATCATAAATATTCACCAGATTCAAACAGCTTACAGATTGAAGAAAGTTCACAGATAATTTGCTGTCTTCCACAAATTGTACCTCTGTATTTGTTGCATAATTTCATGTCAGACAAGGGTATAGTTGGATTTTCCATGCGTCTTCTATAAACACCTATTTTATCTGTTCTGTCATTACCACAAATAACTATAATTGATCTCTTATTTGAACACATACAGACTTCTGCAAAAGAATAATTTCCTGTATATTACAACAAAAAACAGCAAATGATCTTAATTAAGCCCACTGTATTTTTGCTTCATATGTTTGTAAGAAAAGAGTTATAATGTCTCTTTTACTGTTGCAGCACTTTTCGGTACCGAGATAAATTTTAAGAAATACTATTTTAATGTGCTTTTGAAACTTGCAAGAAAAAAATCAGAGTGCTAGCTAGCACATCAATCAAAGTATAAGTCTACAGAAAACTTTTTTCTTTTTAATGTACCATTAGCCAGTACTTTTTATAAACAACATCAGTACATGTCAGCTTCAAAAACATAGTGCAAGAAAATTCTAAGTGTTTATATAAGACACTCTTCTACCCACCTTCTCTCTCTCTCTCTCTCTCTCTCTCACACACACACACACACACACACACACACACACACACTTTCTCTCTCTCTCACACACAAATGGACTTATTCACTGAATCATATTTACTTACAGGATTTCTTGGTTGCTTTCAAATACTGCTTCCAGAGTGGCACACATAACAATTACACAAAACATATTTTTAAAATCACAACATTAAAACTGATGTGAAAGTAAAGCTAGAACAAGCACAAACTAAATGCAAAACTAAAGCAAGGGCCAACTAAAGAAAGACAGGACAACTTCCAAAGGCTTCTTTATAGGCTCCCAAAAAAACTATGTGGAACCAAAACAAGCAAACAGTTTCACTGAACTTTCTACTAGACATCCAAGCTTTTCTTTGATGAAGGTCTAAACCTAAGATGGGAACATGACTTCAATGATGTATCTAAAATTTTTGGAGAGATTTCTGAGAGATATCTTGGTTTTATACTAGAGATAGGATATGTGGCTCTACAGGAGTTTGGTGATGCCCGTTTTCAGCATTCTTCACTATAGTGAACCATTAGTGAGGAATGCTAAGAATTGCAGTAAAAAAGGCATCTTGGAGGACCACATTATTCTCTCTCATCTTAGACCTAGGGCAGTGATTCTCAACCTGTGGGTCCCCAGATGTTTTGGTCTTCAACTACCAGAAATCTTAACCAGTTGGTAAAGTAGCTGGGATTTCTGGATGTTGTAGGCCAATA